CAGGAATTAATGACCTGACTGAAGGGTGAAATAACCACAAAGTAATTACACTCTGCAGTGCTCAACACTTCCATGTTTTAACTGGACTATACACAATATGGAGCATTTTTTTCACTGAGAGAGAATCACTTTATTAAGTTTCACCCGGGAGAAACTTCAGTAGTTAACAGAGCCAGGAGCTTTAACGTACCCTAGGCACTATTTTGATTTTTGCTCAAATGGGGACCATTTCCCTTTCTAGCTCTTAAGTATTAGGATACTGCTTTGAAGTTCATACTGTCAACATTACAGAGCACTTAAAATAAAATAAATTTAAAACAAACAAGCAAACAAAAATAACCACCACCACATTTTAGCAATAATTATCTTCTAAGTACTTTAAGTTTTGAAATACAGATTTTTTTAAATTCATTTTTTCCAGCAAAAAAGAGTATGATGAATGTTGGCTTACATAATCATATCGAAGGACAGGATCATCTGCACTCTCAAAATTATAAATTTCCAGTACTCCATCATCTCGTCCAATGAGTAATTCCTTAACTCCATCTCCCAGAATGTCAAAACTATCAATACATAAGATACCTAATGAAAAATAAAGAAAACAAAACTTACTTCATCTTTTTTTGTTTATGACACAATAATATGTAGGCCTCATTAAAATATATAGAATGATTCTTGATCAGCTTTTAAGATTTTATGAATGCTATTTCCGGCTGAGTCCACTAGAGGGCTGAAGTCTCTCACCTGTGCCCGAGGTTCAAGATTGTACAGTGGGTTTTACAGCAATCGGCTCCAAATCAAAACCACTACAGTTCCCTTGGTGAAAAACACTGAACAGAGACCCCTTCTGATGTTCAAATAGCTGACTTTTGAGGCATTTAGCTCTCTCTCTTCAAACATTCCCCTAGATGAACTATTTGTCTGTCCACACTGCTGGAACTTTGCCAGCTGAAGAGGAAAGACTTCTGTGTTTTCTATAGTTGACTTAAAGCTGTGGCTAAATGGACTACTATGAATTCCGCCTAAGCTGACAGAAGGATTCTGACTTGTGCCAGACAAATTGTCCTCCCTTGTTCCCCAGGGAAGTTGTTGATGCCTCCTCCCTGGAAGTGTACACAGCCAGGTTGGATGGGGCCTTGAGCAACCAGGTCCAGTGGGAGGTGTCCCTTCCCATGACAGGGGGGTTGGAACTGGATGACCTTTAAGGTCAACCCAAACCATTCTGTGATCCTATGAATTAATATTAAACACAAGATGGAGTTTAACTTTTATTAATATTTCGTATTTCATATGAAGAGAATAGACAGACTAAGAAGTATTTGAATAAAATAATATATAATATGGAGCTTTAATAAAAGCCTTATTCTATCTCCATATAAAAATCCTTGTAATGTTGGGGTTTTGGTTTTGGTTTTGTTTTAAAGAAAAAAAAAAGACAAAAAAAGAGAAAAAAGGGAAAAAGGAGAAAAAGGAAAAAAGGAAAAAAAGGGAAAAAAGGAAAAAAAGGAAAAA